TAGGAAAAAAAAAAAAAAAGAAAAAAAAAAGAAACCAACTAAAAACAAAACCCAGAAACAGACATCTCTCCCTCTGAAGGAAAACTATTACATTGTCTGAAAAGTACTCTACAAACCTATAAAAGGACTTTATTTTTAAACTAGTCTGGTAGTTCAAAAGGAAGTTACTTAACTACATCAGTACACAGACACTTAACATTCAGTCAGTAAGGCTCTATGAAAAGAGCTTAAAAAATTATCTACCTGAGTTTGTAAGTTGATACAATCATAATAGAAGGTCTAAGACCATGCAGGTACACAAAGCATTTTTAGAACCATTATTGGTTGAACAATGATGGAAAAAGATGCCAATCTGGCTTGTTAACCCGTAAGATCACTTAGAGACATCAATGTACATTTCCCACCATAACATTTACCAAACCCAACACAGCCTATTGTTATTAGGAGTCTCCTGTACTCGCTTCTGCCACCCCTTAGTMAGAACTGGGGAGGAAAAAGGATTTTTTTTCCCCCTCCAATAGAGTAGTCTGAAAATGTGCTTCTGCAACTTTACTCCACAGGTAAAACAGTGGGTATGTCGCACATCACAACTAAACTTGCCTAAACCCCCAAGACACCGGTTTAAACTGCCTCTCCTGAGTATCTGAAGCGAAACTGCCCTCCAGGAATAGGAACTTGATTGCTTTGTCATGGTGGAAAAAATCCCATTGAGTCAAGCAAGCTACTAATACAATCACCAAGTCAATAAAATAAAAAAAATCAGGACCTTATTCCCTTCAAGCATTTGGTATAGCATTGTGTTTACAGCAATCGTAACACCAGTCTTCCCAAGCAGGACACATTGGTAGGCATGCATAAAAGTTTTTCTCTTGTAGAGAGAAGACCTAAAGGTCTTAGGGACATAAGAACACTGCAAATGAACATGAAGTCTGTCACGTCAGCCAGTAGTGTCATAATACTGAACAAAAGTTTACACTTCCATACCTCGTAGTGAAACCAGAACAAACGCRAAAGCGTTTCAGGTCTCAGTCCAGTTTGCCTGAACATTTGGTTTTATTTACAGATTCTCTAGCATGGGCAGCTTAATATCTCCATAGGCAGGCAGCAAAAATATAAGCAAACAAAAGCAAGCAGTCACCACAAAGTACACATTTAGTATCTTCGTTTCAATTAAAATGCTTTTCCAACAGGCAGGATGAATCCTCCCCCCAGGCAGATTCTCAGCTATTTCCCAAACCTGTCTGATGCTAAATTGAGGTAGATGATTTACTTCTGCAAAGTGAGGTAGAACTTCAAGCAAAAGATAGTGGCATCTCAAGTTGTGCATTTTGTACCACAGCAAACTGGGTTTCAAACTCCCAAGGACTCAAAGACTAAAGGTACAATATTTGTCTAACGCAAGTACCAGTGTTCCTTTTTTATACAGTTCCAAACTGTTTGTCTAAATACCTCTACTTTTAAATACCCTATTACCTTTTGGCACCATTTGGCTTACACTCCTTTAAAAAATAAACAAAACTTTGGCACAATATTTTTTTAAACTAGAACTGAACAAAGAAATCTTATTATCAAAGTTATGGCAAGATGAGCCTATAAACCTGCTTTCTTCAGAAATTAATTAYGGTTTAACTGCAACATAACAGACTGGGCCCACTTTTCTGCAGTTCYAAGGGAATGCCACATCCAAGTGACTTGTTCTTTTTCCAAAGCTGGTTACGCCTGGCCCTAACATGCATTAGTTTTTTTCAGGTGTTATCTTCCTTCCCTTGCTTTCTTTAAAAGTTTAAGGTTCATGGGCTTCCTTAAATAAGTTATATTTAAAATGTACTAAATAAAAAGGAGTGAGTTATTTGAAGGACCTGCAATATCAAATACTGAATCTGCTTCAGTTTGCTACTAAAGTTCCTGCTTAAATAATTCTGAGAAAGGACAAGATTGCTTCATATGCTGAACACCCAAACCAGCCACACTGATTGCTGATAACATTTTGTCAAGCAAAAGGTTTACAGAGAGCCACTGGTTTAACCTGGCATAGAGAAAATCCTTTGGGAGTTCTAGTAGACAGCTCTGTCACCCACATTTGCTGTTCCCCAACAAAGAGGCACACACTCACTTTACCCTTCTCCAGGCCACTTCCCCTAGTTAAGGAGGTTACTCTGAATGCTTGTTTGGTTTGCAATCCAGCTTCCAAGCCTTGCTTTTCCTCTCTGAGTGCATGTATGTTATGATACTGGGGCATCAACCTGAGAACATGCATGGAAAAGCAGAGCAAGGTTTGAATCTCTTTAAAGTATATTACYTTTTAATCAGCCCCTATGGGGCATCTGATGTTGGCATTGTATATTAGCACTACTTTTTTCATTGCATATAAAACACTCCATTTTATAAGCTACACTACCACTTTTCAATGAGACCAAGTGTGCTTAGCACTWTCTATCACAAAGATTAAGGAATTCTTTTGGGTAGCTAAATAGTAGTGTTTTTAAAACGAAAAAGCTCCCCAACACAAGGTCAAACACTCAAGGTTAGATTTGCAAGCAAATCCCACTGAGTTAAATAGACAGCAACTTAGAAAGAGTTCAAGTCATTCTTCTTCCTGACTGAGCTGGGCAGGGGTGTTGTGCAATGGCTCCGTTCAAAACAGCGAAGGGCACCTTCAGTGTGTGTCACCTTCCGCAGGCTGGGGGGCAAAAAGSTTCCTCCAGCTCAACACAATCCTTGACTTTTTTTTTTTTAATGCCTGGAAAACCAGCTCCCTTCTAGCCCCAGAGAARGGCAAACCCCACAAGCATTAAAGCACAAGAGCATTTCTAGGACACTTCAACACTGTCAGCCAYTCTGGTCAAAGTATTAAGAGACCTGGCATTTTCATTAAGACATGACAGGATAAWTGCAAGGACACTGCAGACTAAACATTAAAGCTTTTTAAACCAGTTTTCTTTGGTATCTAGATCTTGCAGGCTACTCGTTTTCATAGCCCGAGTTGCAAATAATTCCTGGGCTGAATAATACAACACAACCACGGATATCTGTCACTGCTGTAGGCCACCCCCAAGAAGGGCAGCGTGTACACAGGCAGAACTTGCAAAACTTGAAGGTAAATGAGCTCTCTCTCATACACATTTTGTGTGGCCACAGAAATTTAATGACAGACATCTGTATAAAAGATTATCCTTTCAAGATTGTTTTTAAACCATGCCATCCTAAGATTAAGCCTAACTGAAACACACTGCTTTGAAGAGTTTGCTTCCTTGAGGCTTTGGCTGAAAGGTGGCACAGTTGTTTTATCCCATTTTATTTAGAAGTTTTTCCTCACCCTTCTTTCAAAAGAGGTGTTGCCATCTCATGAATCTTTCTTTCTGGTCCTTTAGTTTAAGCCTCCTCTACAGTGGCAGCTCTCTCTGTCCGCACACATCATCGGTATTTCTACAAAATCCAGAAAGTTAACTCCTTGGAGGGGAAAGCAGCAAGAAGGAAAGTGCACCTTGTGATTTCTCACAGAATTGTAAAGAGCCTTTCAACCTCAGGTCACTTTTGTGCATGGTGGCTGGCAGAGAGATGAACCCTTTCCTTAGAGGATGGTTTAAGGCTCTTCAAATTTTTCCACAATGGCCATGTTCACACTTCAGAGATCTTCTCTTGCAAACAGTAAGGTAAATCCCATGGCATTTCCAAGTCTAGGAGTACTGACACATCATTTTCTGCATTGCAGAGAGACAGAAGAATCCTCTGTCCCCCCCCTTTAAACAATTCTCATTTGCCAACTCCAGAGGGTGAAGATACAGGTCTGTAGAGACCACATCTGCATGAACAGCTAAACTGGAATGCRAGAAATTGAAGAATAAAACCAAATCCTTCCAGGGACTCAAAGTCACCTTTTGCTAAAGAGATCTCTATTCTCCCCCAAACGTTTATGCTTCTCAGAACACCTGTTTTTATATCCCCTAAAGGGCAAACTTCCCCCTGCCTCCAAGCTTTTAAGGATCATTTACATTAATTTTACACAGAATTCTTTGGTACTGCCCTGGGAAAAAAAAGCAGCAAAGTTTCACCTTGATGCAGTTTGCCTTTAGCYGGTACTGGTAACTCTTCACTTGGATCTGTAGCCAGAGATCTTGCAGCAGGGAGCTACAGGCCCACCCTACCCACCCTAAAAGCTACAGCAGACATTTCCAAAATCTTCAGTCCAGCTCTTTGGGGAAGCCAGAAGATGAAAAAGCCCACTATTTTTGTCACTGATAGTTATTGCAATCCTCTCTAAACAAAAAAAAAACAAAAACAAAACAAAAACCAAAGCAAAACAACCTGCTGACTTCTCCAAAACACACCCTGAATCTCCAAAGCTGTGCTTATTTCTTACTTCTGGAAAAAGGTACCACTTCTGTTCTAACAAATTCAAACATTATTCCCTTAAAGTCTCTCTATGGGGGTTGGGGGGGTAAAAAAACTCTAGTCATTTCACAAGAAAGTAAATCAAAAGGGTTTGATTTTCCCTGTTTCAGTGCTCTTTGTAACCTCTTCTGTTACCCAGATTACAGGCACTGATAAAAAGAAACAGTAACTTTTTTCAAACTAATTTAGCTTTCAGGTGAAAAGGGGTAAAAAGAAATTCTCAATGACATGATAAAGGAAGCCTTGCTTTTTATCTAAACTTTACAATGATCGCACTAAGCCACTAAAATGAACAATTTGGTTTAAACTTAAAGAAGTTTTGTGCATTTTCATCAGCTTCACTTTGTGCTGTTGAATTACTGTGTTTTAGTAAAAAAATACACAGAAATGCCAAAAAKATGCAAACTTGCTCTTCCTGGCAAGTGAATCCCACTCACTTTCACAAAATGTTCAAAGTTGTCTGGGAACAAGATGCTGTGCTCGCCAGTAAATCAAACACACTGAGGTATAAAAAGGAGAACAGGAAAAAGTTCTCTGCTGCAGCAGCAATTAAAAAAAAACAAAAACAAACAACAAATGTCCACCCCCTCCCATGTCCCCACCCACAGAACTGCAGAATGGTCAAGAACACAAATTCTCTACAAACATCTACTACCATTTTCTCCATTTAAAAAGTTACATAGCGCCTTTCTTGGCTTAGTCTAACAGAACTCACCACACAAACCACCTAATGTGCACAGCAACACTTGTTTGTGCATGAAACCCCAACGGGGGGAAGAGGTAAAACGTTCTGAAATATGAGTATGTGGGGAYGGGGAAGGGGCGAGAAACCGGGGAGGGAAGGGAGGACAATGAGGTAGATAGAATTCAATTTTACAGGCTCACTCCCTGCAGAAAAGGTAAGTACATTCATCTGTAAAAAAATTAAAGATGAGGTAGGTTTGAATTAACGTTGTATTTTTTCATTTTCTCTTAGAAGAATTTCCCTGAGACAGTTTCTTCCTAATTCAAACACAGATTAGAAGACGAGAATTCGATTGTTTCCGAAGTCGACCACAACAATCATGCCATCAGGGGTGACAGCTATACCTGAAGGACGGTCCATCTGACCAAAGCCGCTTCCCTGAGTGCCAAACTTGCATAAAAAGCTACCATTGGACTCGAATATCTGCACCCGGTGGTTCCTGGAGTCGGCCACGATGATGCGCCCTTCCTGATCCACCGCCACGCCCTGCGGGCGCAGGAACTGCCCGTTGCCGGTGCCCTCGGAGCCCAGGAAGCGCGCCGACTGGCAGTCCGGATGGATGACCAGGAGGCGATGGTTGTTGAAGTCCGTCACGACCAAGTGGCCCTCGTGATTGAACGTCACACCTCTGGGGGAATCAAAGTGCTTCCAGAGCGCCCCTTCGAAGCCGTACTTGTTCAGGAACACGCCGTCGGGCCCGAACAGCTGAACGCGATGGTTCCTCGTGTCGGAGACCAGGATCTTGCCCTCCGCGTTGACGGCCACATCCCACGGGTAATTGAATTGCCCGTTCTTTGTTCCTTTCTCCCCGAACTTCAGAATGAACTGCCCGTCGAACGTGAAGATCTGGATGCGATGATTGTCCTTGTCGGCCACGATGATCCTACGCGAGATGTCGCAGGCCACGCCGGCGGGGCGATCGAACTGGCCTGGACGGGAGCCCAGCGTGCCAAACTTGTGATGGAAGGTCCCGCACGGCTTGAACACCTGGATGCGGTTGTTGCTGCGGTCGGCGACGATGATGTAGCCTTCTTTGTCGACGCTGACCCCCCAGGGGCGGCAGAGCTTGCCGTCGCTGTCCCCCTCGCTGCCGAAGGACAGCCCCGGCAGCCCGATGCCGATGTAGCTGCGCCCGGACTTCACCACCACCTTGAAGGGGCTGTTCTCGATGTGTTGGTTGCACATCATCACCGACACCAGGTGCTCTCCCTCCAGCTGGGGACGGTAGCTGACCACGTAGGTCCCGTTCTGCTGATCGCTCACGTCTGCCCCGAAAAGGTTTCCGTCGGGGCCCATGACCACCGCGGAGATCATGTCGCCCCCCGAAAGGCGAGGCTCCCCGTCGTGGTCGTAGCCGATGACGGTGAAAGAGGCCACCTTGCCCTGCAGCGCACGCTTGAGCCCTTCGCCCGTGGCTTTGGTCAGGGGRGCGAAAGCCCCGCTGCTGACGAAGCCCATCGATTTAACAGCCATGTACAACGCCTGGTCAGGCGGGGTGAACATGATCCTGTCGTCTTCCTGYGGCTGGAGAAGGCCCCTGACGTTCTTCAGCTCCTGCACCTGAGCCAGCATGCGGTCCCGGGCCAGGAGAATATCCATGGCACGACCCTCCTCCAGGACCTGCTGGACAGCACTAATGGTGTTATCCAGTTTGTTGAGGTTCTGACGTAACTTTTCAACTTGCAAGTAGAGGGACTTAGCCTTGACCTGGCGAATCTTTTCCACCTTGTGGGAAACAGGGGGGAGAGAAAGGCACACTTATATCAGGAAAGACAGGACAACAGATTTCGGAAGACAACACAGATTTCCTTAAGTTTTCCTTCCACATAAAAGCCAGTTGGACAACTGTTACAGCATGTTGACACATAGCYGCGGAAGAAACCTCTAAAAGCCGTGATGCAGACAAGAAGAAAYGAGGAAAACTAATTATTTATCCAAATTTACAGTTATTAGTCTCTGCTATGCTCCAGGCAAAATGATACATTCCTACTCTGCAGATCTGCTGCATCAGAGTGACATTTGAAAGCGAGAAGCACTTGCTTACTAGTAATTATTTGCTTCCTCTAATGCTACTCTGTTTTCTAGTTGCAAGGTACTTGACAGATCATCCAAAGACACATCTCATTTAGCCCCCAGGGAGGACAGAGGTTATTGCAGGCTCTAAGAAGAGCAGAGGCTGAGGCTTCACTAATCAGAACTGAGACCCATTTCAGAAGGTGTGCTGTTGTCACACACAGCGAGTCAGCATCAGCTAATTCACGTTGGCTCCTGTCATTCCCCTGCCTGCCAGAACTGTTTTCACATGACTGGATAATACCAGATATCTATCTCCAGGGATTTTTTAGGGTCCAATTATTTTAATATTTTCTTGCAAATACTGGCAGTCATGCTGAGCTCGTGCTTTGTAAACATCACTTCAAATGACACAGAAGGTTGCTGCCAGTCCCTGCTTTAGGGACTGAAGTTGGTGTAAAAATGGTTATTTTGTAACTCATCTATAAAAGTCTGTCTATCTTTACTTGTGAAAAACCACTTCGGACCATCTGGCAAAGACACCTGCTTTGTAAAACTAATGTAATGTGTCCTGGCTTTATTGTTGCAAAAGTACATTTCCTGATGTCTGAATACCTGCCTGGCTGCAGAACAATWCCTGGGATGCATTTTAATAAAGGAAAACTCAGTGTCTGAAGACTCCTTGGTTAGACACTGACTAGACAACCATATGTACAAACGTGCTGTAAGTTGAGGCACACAGGTTTTACTAAACTGTAAAAAAAAAATTAAAGATGCTTCTTCCAATGGATATCCAAGACAAATTACTAATCTTGTGTCTCAGCTTAATCCTTGGACTCAGCTCTGGTATCCAAAACTATTTATTAGCATGGTTGAAACAAGAGCTTGATACATGTTTTGCTAGAATCGTTTACCACCATCACCACCAAGTTTCCATCTTAAAATGTTTTATAACTTGAAGAGAGCTTGCTCTCAGTGCAGACATTCCAACAAAGAGCATTTGGACAGCACTGTGGGATAAAAACAGCTTAGGGGCAAGCTCTTACTCTGTCTGTACTAGGAATACCTCAGAAGATAAAGCTGCCAAGCTTCCTGGGAAAGGTTAACAATGAAAAGTGAACTCATGTCTCTCAATCCAAAACCTCAGAAAAAGCAACATTCAAAGTACACTAACTATATAAAGCACATTTTTAATCTTCCCCTTGATGCTTAAGAGAAAACAGAACTTCTTTTGTAGGGGATCAGTCTCACTGTAGCTAGAGCAGTTCCAACAAYAAACTCTTACCAGAGAGGTCATTTTGCTGGCAACAGAACCAGAAAATTACTGTTCCAGTTCATGTTGATGGAATAGAGGGGAGAAATGCCTTAGCACTGCTTCTGGGCAGCAGATGCCTCACCAAGGACATGTACACACCATCCTACCTGGCTCTGCTGCACAGAGAGCAGGTGGCAGCAGCCACACAGCACCTGCTTTCCAGCTGCACTGWCTGGTGCCACTGCTTGTTACAGGAGCAGTCTCAGTTAACTCATAAACCTTTCCYATCCTGAGCGGATATTTTTGTTCCCTTTTACCGCTTGTGGTCATTGCACAAGYCAGCAGGACTTGCTGATCTAAAAAGCCTAATCCTACAGCAGAGAGTGTGTTGCTGTTCAATTCTACAAGTGCATCCAAAGGGCCAATCCAAA